AATAGATAAATCGATAAAAAGAAACAGGCTTGTACGGGAATTGAATCCATGACCACTACGCTACCGGTGAAGTACTCTACCATCTGAGCTAAGAAACCTACTGTGAATACATGACCATAGTGTATTTGGACTGCGCAGTGCGCAGTGCGCAGTGCGCAGTGATTACTTCGTAGCATTCATCGCTTGGATGATCACTCTAATTTTGTTAATTTACAAGTAAGGTGGCTATGAAACTATTAAGTATTAAAAGAGCGAATAGAAATGAGGCGATAATAGCTGCCTCGTTTTCCCAAACAGGCACAGATAATTGATTTTCATCAGGTCTTTTCCTAATCTTACGCTAAAAACTTCTTATTGCAAAATTTCACGCTAGGGAACTGGCAAAGAATTAATGACGCACCTGTCTGCTTTGGAGCCAAAAACGACGGTTATGGCTCCTTCAACGTAACAAAGAGTGGGCAGCTTAAGACAATGAAGCTTCTGCACAGATCAGGGCAAATAAAGTGCAATTCCCATACAGCTGTTTCTTATTGGGGCTGTACTCACCAAAGATATGCAGATAAAAAGCTGATGACCTTCATCACTAATGACAAAAGAGAGACTATGTTTCCTCCCGGCCACGGTCTGGAGGCTTTTCGGAAAGGGGATCCTCACATCATTTGTTTAGACATAAAACACTTTTATACTCTGGAAGGAGCCAACCACACCTCACCAGAACTGGTTTTTCCCGACCCTTCAAGTCCGGTTTCTGTGTCCCGCGACCAGGAGTTGCAGATATGGTACGGACAGGATTGGAAAGGTTGTGGAGAGAAGGACAATAGTGGCGAAGTTTGTGTTGATGTGTACGCCTGGTATTTGTAAACTGATTAAGAGATTTTAGAGGTGAACTTAGAGGCAACTTGGCAAAATCTGATTCTAAACAATTATATGAACAATGTGAGCAGCTTTTGCCTAAAATGCCGTCCAAAACGCTCAATCTTTATAGAAGTGGTAGTAACACAGATCAGAAATATTTCAGAACACGAGGTTTACGCTCAACTTTTAACAGTTTGGGGTTTTTGTTCT